TCAAGGTGTTAAAATTCTGCCTTTTGGCAGCATTAACCAAAATTTATTTAGAAATTCATTGTTGGTCTCTATTCGGATATCTTTTCTGGCAGTAATAAAAGCAAGAATCCTGTCTGCTCATGACAAAGGGACACATGCAGAAGTTGTTGTGAAGGTGAAGAAGGTCCTGAAATCAGGCAAAGTGAAAATTGCTCGGAGTAACAGAAGCATTTACCCAGAATCCTGGACCAACAGGGGCTGTACATGTCCCATTCTCAATCCTGGTAAGGACAAAATACTCACTGGGGATTTTGCTTCCCCTTTTAACAGTGCTTGGGAATATCAGCTGTGATCAGCCTTTCTGGGGCAGCATCCTTTGATTCATCCCCACCAAAGCTTTCCAGCTCACAGAGCTCAAGGAGGGTGGTAAAGGCAGGAGGGGGGCAAAGACATGAGCAGCAGCTGCCACATCCCAGAATCCGTGTGCCCAGGAGCCAGCAGGGACAGTATGCACATGGATTTATACACATACGGTGGCACATGCATAAGCTGGATGAAATTGGCAAAGGTGCTGTATGCCAGATCCATACGAAAAAAAAAAGAAATTCTGGTTTGGTTCTTTCTTATTCTATTAGCTAACTAAGGGTTTTCCTTTTTTTTTTTTTTTTAAACTAGGTACTGACTATCTCATAGCAGGCCAGGAGGACTCTAGGACTGGCAAACTCCTTGTGAACATGAACAGCCTGGTGAAACCCTGGAAGGCATATTTGGGAAAACAAGTATCAGATATTCTTCGAACTGGATGCAAATAATTTCTGCTTCAGAAATTACAGTGCTGGACTTTGCCTTTTAGTAACACTGCAGTGAAAGGTGTAGTTAGTTCAAGCATTTCCATTCAACATGCTCCTAGCTGAAGCGAGGAAAGCAGACTTGCCATCCCTCCTTTCATGTGCTTAGACAGGAAACTCGGGACATGATTACTTTTTTAAAAAAAATGCACAGCCTTATAATACAAAATTACCTACTGCATTATATACAGATCACAAGTCAGTTCTTCACTTGAGCCTGATTCCAGCCAGAATAATTTTACAAGGCAAAACTAAAGATATGGACTAGTGTTTCCATACTTCAGGTCAGAGTCTGATATTAATATGCATAAACTGCTTTCATAATACATTCATTACTGGAGTGTAATTTTCTTTATAAGTGACCACTAAAAGGCAGCAATTCCTTTCAGCTTACAAGTGGCATAATACTAAATAAGCATATAAGAGAGCTCAAACTGATTTACCATCAGCCTGCAATTATGCCAATAGAATAGGCTGCTTTCTAGAAGACAATATTATCCCACTGCCTACCAGAAACAAACATGTGGCTTATCTTGGGGCAGTGTCCTTTAGAGGTGAGCACTGCTATCATCAGTGCTTAGTGCTGAGCTCTGCTGCAGAAACCACCTTGGCTCAAACTCCATTCCAAACCCAGCTCTGTGCTGTAGTACTTAGCCTGCAACACCACAAAGGTTTCACAGCAATAACTGCAAATAAGCCTTAATTATAGGAAAAAGCCAAAGTGTGAGGAACTAGCAGCTGCTCTAATGTTGAAATGGTGACACTACAAAAGCCACAAAGCAGAAACAGGAGGTAAATGGATTGGCTGGAGCATGTATCAAAGGAGGTAAGCTGTAGTTCTGGGAGAGCAGCCTGGCTGTTCCAGCTGTGCTCAAGACCACTGGCGTTCAATTGCACTTAGTGCTTTCATTGTGCTTTATTTCTCCTGGTCACACTTCAGGGTAAGATGCTGAAGCTCTGCTTCATTCCCATAGTGCCTGAGGATTATTTCTCCCTCTGCAAAAATACAGGAGTGGTAACATCTGCACTCCACGTAAAATTAGTTCTGCTCTGCAAAAGCATTATTTCTAAATCAATTTTACCCTACAGTAAGCAAGAGGTAGCTACTTAAATTCTTCCCTAATAAGAATTTTGAGGAAATTGAAGTTTGAGATGTGTGTCCCCTGTTTAAGGACTCACAACCAAATGAAGTTTGTTGGAGCACTCTCTCTTCAACTAAGCAAAAACTACAATTAATCTATATTCTTTCAGGGAGTTACAGAGAAAGAGAAGCACACATGCTACTTTTGCATGTTTCAATTCCATGTCTAATTTTTAATGCTCCTAGGAAAGAAGAGAAGTTTTCATTTAGCACTGTCTGACTGGTAAGTGGGACATCTAGAAACCCTAATACTAATGCAGAACAATGGAAGTCCAGCCTACAACTTAGGCCATCATTTTGTTCTCTTTACCAATGAGAACGTAAAAATTCAGCCTCTTCCATTCTATTTATTGCTATTTTACTTTGAATTTTACAGAAAAGCAGAAATATCCTCAGCTCATTTGGAAATGGATGACAGGCAGATCTTTAGGGAAAAAAAAGCTCCAATTTGTTTCCTAACAGGACATAAACAGTGTTTCTAGTGTTTCTTCCTCTCTCCTTTTCAGGAAATTTCCCTTCCTCCACTGCTTTCCCCCTTTCATTTCATAATTTATTTGTTGTTACCTAAACTGGTATCCAACAATGTGGCATCTCCAACAAGCTATTTAATTAATGCAATAAAACACTTTTTAACCAAGGCATTTGGCAGAATTTGAAATGTCAGCCTTATGAAATTAGGAGCCCAGCAACTGCTTTCTTTACTGTCTCCAGAAATTGTCTCACAACAAAAAGATTAACTAGTTTTCTTTCAAATATCAGTAAAGACCTGTACATGAATTTACAGTCTAATCTCAAAGGGCCTCTCTCAAGAAATGAAATTCAAGTGTAGGTTTAGAATTAAACTAAGGAATGTGCTTTTCAACAGAGGCCATTTTACCTGTAGGGGATCTTATTTAACGACAATGAGGATATTCCATGTTGGTTTATAGTCAGCACCATATTAAAGCAAACACCTCTGTTCCACTTTTTGTGCCATACTGGTGGTTTTGTGGGGAGGGTAAACATCTGCATAGTTCTCTTCTGTGAATAAAAGTGGTTTTTTTGACACATTCATTTACTAGCATTACTAGCTACTGCTAGTAGAAATACAACTTGGAACCACAGATTTAGAAATCAAACACCCATTTTCCACACAGCATCCTACGAAGGGAATGAGTGCACTGTGAGGGGATGCTTTAACTTTCTTAGGAGTTGTAAGGAACTTGGAACATTCAGAATAACTGGACCTGTCACTCAGGGTCCACCTTTCTTAGGAGTTGTAAGGAACTTGGAACATTCAGAACAAATAACTGGACCTGTCACTCAGGGTCCACTTACCCTTCACATCACTGTTGTGTCATCTGGGTTAATCTGCACTGTGAAATCACCACAAATCCTCCTGTGCTCCTTGTTTTGGCTCTCCTGAGCTGTCTGCTCACAGATCATCAGCACTGATTACAATAAGCCATTTCAAAAACGAACATTGGTGCTATAATCAACACTGCACTCCTCTACTTTTCCTCTGGTGGCTGTGTCTTCTCTCAGCTCCACCATCACGAACACATCAGCTCCAGAGGGGTTAAAAGCAGTTGAAAAACAACTGCAGACAGGCTCCTGTTCAACAAAATGAAATCATGTCCAGTGAAGAGAGCTGACTGGGAATAAATGACAAACTGCTGGTAGCTTCTCTACACTGTCCCGCACTAACACTGATAGAATTTTAATGAGGTAAAACAAGAGTCTAGAAGCACACAAATTCCTTTTTTACTTCCCTAGGAATAAGTAGGTTCATTGAGGTGTGATCAGATCAGTGCCTCAGATAAACAGGAGACGCTGCTGTCAGGTTAACAAGGATACTCAGTCAGAACTGCACAGGATATAGATCTTGTTTCCAAAACAGCCCTGCCAGATCCCCAGATCTAGTGATCCCTACAATGGCCTGCAAGATAAATGTCTCCTTCTAGCCACCATTTTGAAGGGAGAAAGAAAAAAAAAAGATTACTTTTGCACCTGAAGCAAGGCCATACCTCTAAGAAAGTTACTATACACAAGTTGAAGTTAGGTCTCTGCAATATCCTCAGGGTGTACTGCAGAGAACAGCAGAAAAAACTGAGTAACTTTTAATTCTGAAATTGCAATTTTGTCTAATTTTAACCAATTTATTTTTTTACATTTTAGAATACATGTTTTGTTAAAGTTTTAGAGGCAATCTTTATCCACATCAGAATATACAGTACATGCACCACAGATTCAAGTTTAAGTGGCTTGCAGGAACAATCCCATGCTAACAAGCAAGTTACCACAAGTTATAGATGAATTTGTGGCCAGCATCATGCAGGAATTGCAGCCAGCTGATAACAGTCCACCCAGTCCAGTGCACCAGAACAAGGGTATGCAAAAACTGAAGAAAGGTTAAAACTGAATATCCGGAGTATTACACAGCAATATGGTACAAGGGAGTATTTTGGGAGCAATGGTAGGTCTGTAGGGTGAATACAATTAAAACCATGTCTTTTTATTCTAAAAACTAAACGTAGCAAATTCAATTGGAATTCTATCTATATGTAACTAACTGGGCTAAGTAACTTGTATTGGAAAGATATTCTAATAGATCTAGAAGTGCTTCATGTATTGTTAACAGTTTCTTTAGCTAAACTTTTATAAACATTTAATCACACTCAGCACATCAGCTTTTATAGGCCAAAGATCAACTACAGGCACAGAATTAAAAGCAATTCTTTCATAATGAAAGCTTTCTTTATCCCCTAAGGACTACTTGTGACTTGACATAGCAGTGCCTATGATTTGACAAAAGCACCCGATAACATAAAATCAGTATGAAATTACTCTATAAACACAATTGCACAAACACATTTGAATCTACTACTCTCTCTCTCCAAGAACCAGCAGCTCAGTGATGGCAGACAGAAAACCAAAATATTATTTATAAAATAAGAAATGCCTTACAAGAAATATGCAAGTTTTGTATTCACACAATAAAAAGGAAATTTACCATCTGCTTATTTCACAAGCTTGTCACATATTGCCAAGGATCATTTTATCATCTTTATTACATACTAAAACAACCACTGATTGATTTTAGATTTAAAATTGGGGCATGTAACTATAGGAGGAAAATCACACAAATGAAGCAATGCTGGGAAACAGAAACAAGGGGTTACATTATCTATGCATTCACAACTGCATGAGTTTACATAGCAAAAAAAAAATCCACAAAGAACTATTTAGGATTAAAGCTATGACTTCCTTTCTCAAAACACTTCAAACACATCACACAGTCCTTTTCACAGTTTCTGGTGTAAGATCCTTACACATATTTCATGTTTGTACTAGATGCAGCACAACAGGTTACCAAGCCACACAGTCAGAAAGAAGCAAATCCATCCTGAACACACCTTCAGAAATGTCAGATTACGCCCCAAGTTCCCTCTGTCAGCATTAGGTGCACATCCCTACCCACTAGGCCAAAATTCTCGCATTTTATGTTTTGTACACAGATGCTACAAATACAGTTGCAGAGGATAAATTCAAACACTTTAGAGCACAAAGGCAATGTGGGAAAGAAAAGCACAGCAAAAAAGAAAGAAGAGGCAACTTGTTAGAACAGGGCACCTCTTGACAAACAGCTCTTGCTTCCTCACAGAGTGCACTAGATTTCCATTTGAACAACCAGAAGCTCGGGTGCATGTGATTTTTTTCTAACTTGGTGCCCAGTACTCATCTATTGCCTAAGATTTCATTTGCATGGCCCAACTGCCTCAGTGCCAAAGATTATCTCTGCTGCTTTTGTGCCAGTTTACTCAGGTTAACTTGGCACTTGGCTTCTCATGCCTGAAAGAGTCACACTGAGAAGTTCTGTGTCACTTTGTTTCTTTGGAAAGCAGCGATGCCTAGAGTCCCGGCTATCACTGCCCTCAGAACAAAGTTGTTGTCAGCCACTTAACTGCCTAGAAATTTTCTTCTGAGGATCCAGCAGCTGCACTGAAATACAAACAGCTCAAACACACTATTAAAACTTGACAGAAATTCCCCTCAAACATTCAGAATCAGTGGCACCGAACTCACTTATGCAAGCAAGACACAAAAGTGCAATACAAAATTAATGCTTCTGGGCACTCCAGAGCGCTGCCCACAGAGAAAGGCAAGTGTTTAAACATTGCTGGACTTTGTGAGCTGCATTACTGACACTGCAAACTTTTATGCTTTGGGTGAGGTAGAAAGGAGAGAAAAAACCAAACAACCACAGCCACAATCTCTTTTGAAAAAAAATCTCACAGCCTATCTTTTGCTCAGAAAGACAAACACTGCAGTATAGCTTATCTAGAGCTACTGAATAATAATGAACTATTAAATTATTTGTACCTCAAGTAATTTTCAAGTATTTTAATAGCTATTCATGTTTATTTGCTGGTTCATGATCCAGTCTACTACAGCTGCTAAAAAAGCTTTAGGTTTTTTATGCCTTTCTGCCTGGGCTGCAGAGAAAAGAATAAGACGAGAACAAAAATCTGACAAGAGACGAGAACAAAAATCTGACAAGATGCAGCAACTGATCTTCACAACTCACAAATTCATTTGAGGCCTGCTTATAGCACAGAACAGTTCTCAAATCCAATCAGTGTTAACAAAAAAACAACCAAACAAAACACCACACCACGAAGACACAGGAGCTTCCAGTGAGGGTAAAAAGTATTTTCTTTTTAATATGCACTTCAGTCACAGTATCTGTTTTGAGATCATTACACCAGGTAACAATTTATTTTATCTCAAAGTATTTCACAAGTGCCCATCTATACATTGAAGGAGAAGGTAATAACCAAATGAACCCAAAAGTACTTTCAGAGCAAAAATAAAGCCAGTGACCAACATTCTTTGCATTCATCTTAATCATCAGCTGCACAACACACCATTTTTAAAAATGCAAAAGGCATCACAGTAAGTAAATGAAATCAAAGAAGATGTGCATTTCAACATTTTCCTGGCAGTCCTGATCTGATGCCAGTAGTAAAATGCAACCATAATCTAGTAAGACCATTTGAAATTATTTTAGAAATTCTAGATCTAGACCATTTTCAATGTCTTGCATCACTTCGGAAAAAAAATCCTAAAGGAAAAACAATCATTTAATGTAATTTCTATTGATAGAAAAGAATACATTAAACAAAAATCAGCTACTGATCACAACATACTGAAATGAAGACAGACCTGGTGTGCCAGTGGAATTTTAGTTGAAAGCTATGTACTTCAAGACATTATTCAAGTCAAAACTCAAGGAAAACTTGAGGGTAAAGAACAGCTGTTAAAGTTTTAACTGTGTCCGAAGGTTACACAGTACATACACACACTCGCTCTTTTTGCAGTACTTATTTGCAAGGCTGAAGCTCTGAAATTTCTCCTTCAGGAATAAATTATTTATTATGATACAGTGCACAGAATATGGTGAAACATTCCCTCACTACTCAGAAGACAGACACACTGCAGAAGTCCATGTCTCTGACAATGAGCAATGGAGACAACAGCCTCCTTGCATCTTCATTAGCTGGATCCCTCCTCCTCTTTGGCAGCAGTGGCCTCCATAGAGGCAGCTTCCAAATCTTTGCTGGACTTCTCATCATTTTCATCCTCTTGAGGGTAAAGATCTGGGTATTTTTGCATGCATTCCTGCATGGCACGGAATTGGTCCACACAGTCTGATCCCTTTATTTCTTCCGTGCTATAGTGGAAACAAGAAAAGGCTGACTTGAACTGCTCCCCACAGGGACCACTCGCCATTCCACCCAGACATGGGCAATTCCAGTTGATATCTCCATTGGGCAATATCAATCCTGAACAAACAAGAGAGAAGAAAAGTTAATGCACCTTCCAAACATTGATTTCACTCAGTGACAGCTGCTGGGCTGCAGGTGTAAACTCAAGCACTCCTAATGCCACCTCAGTTCTGTAGCTTCAAGGCTGATAAACACCTTTCACTTCCCAGCCAGTCTGCTTCATGCTCTGATCTGTATAATCCTTTAATGGGCACAAGTGAGATTAGCTCTCTATCCATCTCTGAATTAAGTCCTTCTCCCTGGGCTACAGACCACTGAGAATATTCTAAGGGACAGATGGAAGTCAAGTCAATCGATTTGCCAGACTCTGTCAGGGGAACAAGCAAGCATTAAAATCATTCCATACAAATAGTAAGACTTTAAATCCACTATTAAGACTAGAAATCTTTTACATCAAATCGAATTCATGCATTTTTCTTGTTGTTTGAAATAAACTCTGAACTAATAACTCACAACTTTCCCCCTTCGAATTTCAACTGGAAGACCAGAACTGTAAAAACAAAAATCAGTGTATTTGTAAAGATTAAGTCATGTGCCACAGAACACAAGGAACAGCAAGCCTGAGAGCAAGCCTGCCTGTCTGGTTGCCAGAAACCAAATTGTACTTTAGAACACAACTGAAAGGAGATAAATATCACTTCAGACTTTAAACTGGAACAGCTGTAAACCTCTGCTCTGGAACAATTAAAGTCCTGACAGAAATACTTCACTGATGGACTGGCAAGGTGAAGATTTAAGGGCATATGTTCTTCTACATGGGAACTGCACAATGAAGAACTCCTTCCCTCTGATTTTAGAAATTCAGTATAACAGACTTGGTCCTGTGGGCTTCTGGAGTCTCTAATGCAATAAATACATCTCCAGAAGCCATGCTCCAGAAAAGCAAAACAAAAATACAGATGAATAAAGCAAGCATTTCCTCATTCATAATCACAGCAGAATTCACACATCAATGAGTAAGTCCATCAGCAAGCTTAGAACACAATTAAAACGGAAACACATTTCATCCCCTGCTCTTCCTGAGTTGCAAGCCTGCAATAGAAAGGATTACTATTTTTAATTAAAATTTAATTCAAACTTCTTTCAAATGCAGGCTGAACCTCACTGATCCAGTGAGTCACAATCTACCTGAACCTGCACTTGTGGAAGAAAAAATAACCCTGTTTAGAGCACTGCAAATCAAGACTTGTGTGAGCAATTGATTGCTGACACCACACAACCTAATGGCTCATAGCTCATGGAAGCTGCTCATGTCATGGCCAAAGGCAGGCCCAGCTGCATCTGTGTCAACCCTTGTCTTTGGACTCGCTGCTATGAAGTCCCTCTGCTGTTCTGAGAAGAGTTTCTTCCCTGCAACATGACAAACACCCCAATAACAAGTTTATCTGCCAAGGATTCACAGTGGAAGATGACAGGAAGCAGGATTGAAAGGGACATCATTAGTCACAGAAACAGTCCTGTCTATCTGATCATTCACCAAGTTCTCTCTTAAAAGAACGTGGAGTTTTGCTTCATCAGTCCCCTCTAGAAACCACTTTAAAACTGTTTATGAAATAAGATGACAGGAACAAGTCTGGAAAAACAGAAGGGAAAGACCAGCAACAATCTGTGTTTGAGGTCCAATTCCATAAGCACTTTTATCCAACTTTCCCATCACAGCTGTAACACTAATAAAAACCACTTTGCATGCATAAAACTCATCATTGCCTTCTTCATATAAGCTTAATAAAATAAAAAATTATTCGAACTGAAGGCAGCCAAGATGTCAGTGAAAACCAGGAATCTTTCATGTTTAAATTCCACCATCTGCAACACATAGGACTAGAAAGATGCTTTACAGTAACAATACTATTTCAAAACCACTGCAAATGAATTCTTAATTTGTTTCCATCAGCCACAGCTGTCAAAAGGCACAGACAGTGAACGGTGATCTTCACTGCAGTATGAAATCCTAACCTGAACTTACTCCAGTTTGTCTGCCCTTCCATTTCCCATGGCCTTTTTTCTTTCAATATTTTTAGCTTAAAGTGAGTCATTAACATTTTGCCTACCAAAATCACCCAGCTGATACAACAACAACAAAATATTGACAGAAATAAGAGCAGTATACAGCTGGTTTTCATCCTAAGGGAAATAGAACACAAGTTTTCCTGACCAATCTACTGATTCAAGTAAACTGCTCAAAGGCTAATGTCTGTTAATGTCTGGGACAAAATAACAATTATCAAAATTACCAAATACCAAACTAGATGTTTATATCAAGTATGAAAAAGGCCCCTACAAAAAACCAAAACCTCAAACACAAGTTTCATGTGTATTGGAAAACAATGCAGATTATGGCAGGTCTATATAATTCATTTATTCTTTCCCAGATCTGACTGGTCTCTTTGGCAGAGCAGAAAAGAGGAAGAGTCCTTACAGTTAATCATACAACACTGGAAACCAAGTCTTCTATTCCAAGTAGAAGCTAAATTAGAAAAGCCTGCATGTTACATTAGTTACAGTAAAACCCTTCCCAATTTTCTTTTTACTTAAAAGCCATACAAGCCAGAGCTTCAGCATTTCAACATATTCCAAACCATTTTATCCATGTCTGTCCTGCCCATAAGCTTCACTCCCTACCACCACAGTCTGTGATATTCTGTGATATTTCTCTCTTCTGTTCTAATGCACTGTAGCCCTGGGTCATTCAAGTGCTTTTTCAGACAGTAATTTACCACATACTAAGAAAATCACACAAGAAATCCCTACCCAAACTTACTGACAGTACTTAAACATAGTTTACAGTTTCTCATTTTGAATCCCCCAGACACACACTGTAAGGTGACATAAAAAGCTCCTGGCTTTCCCCCTTTCTTCTCTGACCTACTGCTGAGGAAGAAAGTGATCTAACATTCTGTAAATGCAGCATTGCTAGGAAACAAACCCCATCACCTCTCTTCCCCACCACAGCCTTTCCATGTCCAGCAAAACACACATAAGAGCAATCAACTGACATGGTAAAAACAAAAATAAAACAGTTCTTTTGATTTTGACTAGTTTATTTCCCAAATGTATGTCAGAGCAAGTAATCAACAGACTTACCAGTGCAAATAAGAAAAACTTTTGGATATATAACTGACTACACAGAGCTGTAATGAAGCCAAAATAGGCAGATAAATGCAGTAACATTTCAACACAAATCTATGTAGGAAAAAAGTTAATTTTAATTACATACAAAGGTGTGTTTCAAATTACAGTACACACCATATCAGCTAAGAGACCCTGTGAGCTCCAGCTGCTAAACTGCTTAAATGCTGCCCTCTAAAGGTCTCCGAGGCACTTTAGAAAGCGTAACTTTCACTTTCTAGCTAAATTTCAAAAAGTCTGAAGAATTACTTCAGCCTCAGTTGAGCTGAAACCGATGAAATCCCTTCACACAAAGTGTGACCAAAGAGATCTGTAAACATAGAGGCAATTAGAAAAAAATTAACCAAAACTCACTTTTTCATGATAATTATTAACTCAGGACAAAATTTATTAAATCATCTTTACTGGAAGTATAATTCATTTACCCATTATTTAAAATCTGCAACCAGAATATTGTAAGCCTTGGTCTCAGAAGTATTCTGCTCTCCTAAATCTCCATTTGCAGGTTGGATATACTTTGTACAAGAACTGTAATCTTCATGAAAACTTTTATCTTTTCAAGGCACGATTACAGTTGAAAACTCAATAATTTCAACTTACCCATCAGGTGCCACCGAAAGATATTGTTTATATTGCTACCAGTATAGTACAGTTTTTAGCCAGATATTTATTTGTATTAAATCAGATAGTCAGAGATTGCCACATGAGGCAATTTCAGCTGCTCACAGGCAGGTGAGCAACTCACATCAATGACAGTGATATGTAACTCACTCCAGCTTCTCTGAAAATTGCATGCTATAACTTAAAACAGAGGAAAAATTATCATAATTTTCACCTGATTAGGCTCTAACTTTATTAATAAAAGGAAAAGGTATCCCTGCATATCTGTGGCCACTAACCAAACTAAAAGCTATCAGATGAATATTTGAAGAGACCACTAAGAAAAATCATTCCAAGTGTAGAAGAATAAATACTGGAAAAAAGTGTCCTAAGCTGGCAGTTAAAACTGCCAAGAGTTTGAGTATTTACTGCATAACCAGCTGCCCTCAGTCTTTAAATATGTTTACGTTTTTCTAATTCATGCAGGGTTTGTTTTCTGTTGGGTTTATGTATGATGCAACACCTCTTACTTTCATTCTGCTCTCTACTGACCTTGCTCTTCATAAGGGTCGTCTGGATCATCTGCAACCAGCTCAGCACTGCTCGGTGTCTCATGGTCCTCCTTGGTTGCAAATATTATTCTGTCTTTTCCTGCCATGGAGGAGACAAGAAGCAAAAGTTCAGAGAAATGAGAGACAGAAAAGAGTGATTTACAAAACTGCAGAACACCACAAGGTAATGAGATATTCAATGTGATTCACTAATATTGAGAATGAACTTAAGTACTTATCAATCACCTTCAATGAGAACAGTTACTAGAACAGTTCAGAGGAACACATATACACTGAAATTCTGTTATTCTAAAGCTCCAATTTTCACAGCAACGTCCTGTAATAAACAATACAGTTTGCTAAACTGCTAAGTTAAAAAGCTGTTTCAAAACAAAATTAAATTACTCCAACACTAGGACTAACACAGGTAACCAATATAGAATTTTAAAAAAAAGTGAAAGAGAAACTATAATAAATAGCAGCTAAAGTGTTCAACAGGAACTTATCAATAACAGTGCTCTTTGCTAAAGACTAGTGTAATATTTTACACTAATCACCTGAATTAAAAACAAAAGATAGCTATCACCATATAGAACTAACTACACTGAAAGGTGCTGTGACCATTACAAAGGATGGAAATCCAATGGAGCAAATTTCCTGCTCTTAATTTAACTAAAACATTCCATAGCGAAGTCAGGGGAGGCTTGGCTGGAAACTTCAGTAGTTTTAGTTTTCTAACAACCCTGCAAAGCTCTAACACACACTCTGAATGTAGAAAAAAATGGTAAATTCCCCAAGAATTCTCTAAATTCATAAAGGCCACTACAGTAACTTGGCATATTAAGAAATTAGAATCTCCTGGCCCCTCAGTGTGACCTCAGCCAGCAGATGTTCAGTAACTTAACCTTGCTCAGTAACCATGCATTAAAAACAGATAAATCTAAGACCTTTTAAAAAACGGAAACAGTTCTCTGACAACTCTGCATGGTACCCAGCAAACTTACAATGTGGAATGTTCAGTCATTTCTTATATGAAAGGAGAAACACATGAACTCTGACCCCATCACTGCAATTTTGTAGGGTTGCATGAGGCAACTTACACATATTGCAAAATTAAACAAAGCACAGCATAGATCATAAAAGAGGTCCATGCATTACGACTGCCTCAATACCGTTTATAGTCTGTGTCCAAGTTTATAAGTTTAGAACTACTGGTAGTTTTTTCCCAGTCTGAAACTTTGCATTCAGCCACTTCGCACTTCTTAAGAGAGCGGGGATAGTTATTTATATATAAGTAGACACAGATATGCATCTAGATATTTACCTACTCATCTCCCACTTTAAGAGGTGGTCAAGCCTCATAACTACCCCAACCTATACAACATGATACAGAACCAGAAAAGCTCGCACTCTACCCACCCTGTCCATCGACCTTAAAAAGGCCAAACCCCACGCCTCTGGCCACTCAGCCAGGCTGGGATAAATTTAACGCCGGCGGGCAGAAGGCTCCGCGCGGCCGGGAGCTACCCTGCCCTGCCCGCACGCCTCAGCCGCCACGCGCGCTCCCTGCGGGCACCTCGGGCCGCTCCCGGTGCCTCACCGGCCCCACCGCCCGGGACCGCGCTGCCGCCTCATGGCCCCGCCGCCCTTCCCGCCCTCCGTCAGGAGAAAGGTCGGCGGAGGGAGGCGAGGCAGCGCCGCCGCCGCCACACACGGAGCGCGGGCGGCCGCCGCGCCTCCTCTCTACTCCGGCTGCGCCTTCCCCTCACGGGCTGCGGGGAGCGGGCGGTCACCCCGCGGAGCACCCACCCCCGGCCGCCTCACAGCGAGCCCGCCCGGTGGGGTGACATTGGGAGGACGCTCGGGCGCACCTTCCTGCCTGCAGTAGGACATGGCGGAGCCGGCCGGTGCCTTCCTCCGCAGCGCGCCGCACACGGGCCCCGCCGCTCCGCTCCCGCCGTCCCGCCAGCACCGCTCGGGCAGCGCCGCGCCGCTGCTCCACGCCGCGACCTCCCGCCTCCGGAAGCGCCTTCCCGGCCCGGAGGCGGCCGCTGACGCACCTCCTGCCGGCCGCGGGGCTCCGCCAGGCCCGGCCCCGCCGCACTACAGCTCCCGCCTGCCCCGCGCCCGGCCGCAGGGCGGAGAGAGAAGGCGGGAAGGGAAGGAGGCAGGAAGGGCTTCCCCGCCGCGGCGGGAACTACGCGTCCCGGCGTGCGCCGCTGCGGGCGGGGAGCGGCTCGGGGGCGGGGGAGCCCTGAGGCGGGTGAGGGCGCGGCTGGCGGTGCGCGGCTCTGGCGGTCTCTGAGTTGTGGTTCCCAAGGGGAGTGAGAGGCTCAGGATGTCGAGGAATGTAAGTGCTGCTCCGGCCCCGCCGCTGCTCCGCGCTCCGTGCGGCGTCCGCCCGGCTTGGCCCGCTCGCCCCCGGGTGCCAGGGCTGCGGCCACGGCCCTGTGCCGGTCACAGCCCGCCAGGCATCTCCAGATGAGAGGGGCGATGTGTGCTAATGGCTTTACTAATAACTCGATGGGTAAAAGTATGGGGGGTTAATGACTTTGAAATGGGTCTTAATGTCTCTACTGACTTTGTGCAGCAGGTTGGTTGCCGAGCTGAGGCAGCTTGGCTCCTGGCGCAGAAAGTGGCTCTGCACAAGCCTGAGTTTCTGAACTTTGGGCAGCAGCTCTGTTGCAGAGCCTAGACAGCCTAATTCAGGAAACAAAGTGGGTCTCCACAAGCTGAACTTCTGATCTTTGGGGTAAAACAGTAGGTTCAAGCGGGGCATATGTGGAAGGCGGTTCGGGAAGGCTCTATCTACCTTCCGAGTAGCCGATGGGGAAGGGAAAAGGGCAACGTGCGGCCAGGAGTTCAGGATGAAAGGAGGCTGTGCCCCCCGAAACCGAGGGTGTGCGCCCCAGTGGACTCTCTCCCTTTAGTCGAATAAAGTTGCAGGACTTCTTTGTCTCCCTTGTGGACACTGGCGTGATTTTCCATACACAGAGAAGTGCCATGCCCTGCCTTGGCTCTGTGTGTGTGCTGAAGTTGGATTTGGTAACTCCCCACAAGCCGCGTAAGCACAGCTAAACCCCTGGGCTCTCATGTTAGCCCTCTGCCTTGTTTTGAGTTATTGTTACCCTGGATATAATTATTTTAGAGCGTGCAGGCACTCTTTTTACTGCTGAGGTGAATCATAATTTGTTATTTATAGCAGTGTTTTAGCTGGTCAGGAATTCAGGGCTATTACTCAATTTGCCATGGCCTGAGTACAGGGTGTGGACTCCAAATACGGAACCTGGAGGCAGACCGAAGAAAGCTTGAACATGTAGAACCACTATAATAGAAATTAGTTGGGTTTTTTTTCTATCAGGCTGGAGTTTTTTTATTGAATATGTTTCTGGTATCAAAAGTGTGATAAGGCATTTAATAAGTGTGGGAAAGTTTTGGTCCAAGGCAAGAGGTTTTGCACTGTAGGGCAGCGTGGCTAACAAAGCTACAAGACTTGTTTTGAAACTGAATGCTTTCCCCTTTCACACCAATATTGCACTTTTGGTTTATTTTCAACAGTTCTCTGACACAGGCAGCAGAAAAGAGCATGTTAAAATCACGAGTGAGCCCAAACCAGGGTTCCTGGAGCGGCTCAGTGAGACTTCTGGAGGCATGTTGATTGGACTTGTGACGTTTCTTCTGGCTTTCTACGTTCTTTTTACCAATGAAGTAAGTGCAATACTGTCAGTGTTTGTACACAGCGTTATTACCTGACCCATGAGAAGAGGAGGTTTTGTCTGGGGACCTGGTGCTTATGCTCGGGATATAACAGAAAAGTGGAATCACAGGCCACAGGTAGTATTTCTCTGGAACTAGGTATAGTAGAGACAGTAGCAGTGCCTCATGAGAGATAAGATCAAAAGCTTGTAAACTGGTGATGCAACAGCCTGTGGTAAGAGGGTTGCATGAGCCAGCCCCCTTTTTCCTTGAGATAATGAAAGGTCCTCATTTCTAGTGGTGTTATAATTACTTTAAAGAAATTCCCTGTGTTGAAAAATTTGAGGAGTTATTTATTTAGTTTTTCTCAGCATTATTTCTTGGTTTTAGATTAAAAACATAAAAAGTAAGCCAGGAATCTTAACATCCAACCATTTAAAACGTACTTGTTTTGACAATTTTGGAGCAGAAAGCAGAATTCTGTGGATTTTCACTACTCCAAATTTTGATGACTTTGCAGAAAAAAAGCACATCAGGATATGATGGTGAGGCAGGGAAGACTTCTGCCAAGGAGTCAGCATAGGTGTGTGGAAAATGAACTGTAATTTGTATCATTTTTGCAGTTATTCAAGAGTGATGAACAAGGTAAGAGGTGCAGAGCAGTAAGTTTGGACCCATGTAGGAAGAATTTGGGTCTGTTTGAGAAGCTTAGTTGATGTTAATGGTCCTGCTGCCTGGGTGAGAAGTGCTGCCCCAAACTGGCTCAGACAGAGAATGGAGAAGTACAAGTGTGTTTCCAAAATATACCTTGGGCTGAATATACAAATGTTCCTTGTGGTCATCTCTGCTAGCCCTGTTCATATAATGCTGCTGTGAAGCTGATTCTCCACAAGCTGATTTCTGTTTTCTTCATTACAGGGACGAGCTTTAAGGACAGCCAAGTCTCTCGATGAGGGGCTTTCCCTTGTGGTCCCTCTTGACAGCATCCACAGCATCTCTCAGCAGAATGAGGGGAGACTGGTGCACTTGGCTGGAGCTCTGAGTACATCTAAGGTAAATAAAATGGTATCTTGAAGATAGGAGTATTTCAAGCTTGGAGGGAAGGAAAAGTCTTTGCCAATTAAAGTTTTGTTTGATGTCCAGAAAAAAAAACAAACATAGCTTTTCTCCTCCTCTAGGCATTGGCAGCTACCATTCAAGCTCTGGTTCTTGGTCTGGAATCAGGGAGATCCTGAATGGCCTTGTACTCCCTTTCTCAAGCCAGTGCCAGCTTTAGCTGCTTACCCTCAAGCTGCCTTTCATGGATAATTTCAATTTCCATTTGTGTAGGGAACCTGTTTTGTGTTCATGGTATTGTTAAGTCTTCAGGCTCTTGCAGCACAGGAGCTCTGCAAGTTTTTACTTTTCAGTAGTGGTGACATTTTCCATGGTCCACCCACATTGCAGAAGGTAACACAGCACCTTCCAGCAAAACAGAATCTCCTGGTTTAAACACTGAAACCTGTAAACCCATAGTCAGCAGTTCTGGTTAATTCTTCACTATGGCAATAACTTTTGATGGTGATTCTTCAGGTCAGATTTGCCAGAGACATTCCTTTTTGTCTTTCATAACATTTATACTGTGTTCACCTGTGTGTGAGATAGTGCTAGCTGTACAGTGAGGTATGTAAATGGGTTCAGTAGCAGAAGTACAGTGTTTGATGTTGTGAGGTACAGCATTTAGACTGACTTGCATTTTCTTTAATTTTTGTACAGCCTTTGTTTGACCCCAGCTATGGGCTCTCCATCCAAGCTGTCAAACTTAAGCGTAACGTGGAGATGTACCAGTGGGTTGAATATGAAGATTCCAAGTAAGTGAAAGTAATCTTTAAAAGTAGTTTATGAGGCTGTTGTGTTACCAGGATCCTATCACAATTTTTGTTTTCCTTATACCAAAGGGAAAAATAAAAACCAAATTAAAAAACCCTCTTCATAGCAAAAGAATTCTAGAGCTCTTGGATTTTTTTTTCCTTTAGAGAATCACTTTAATTTCCTTGAGAGATGTTAACTGCTCTGCTAATCATTGCAACCCAAATAGGGAAAACATTTCTGATATTGCTAATAATTCCACTGATGTTAGTATGTATTTTGTAGGTGTGACTGCACAGAATTTATGCTCCAAATGTCTTTCATGTCATACAAAAAAAAGGTCAGAGGTAGTGAAGGTTTGAAAAATAATTTCTCAGTTTCAGCATGCTTATGGTGCAGCATCTGTTAGAAACTTGATTTGGGCCAGCTTATCTCACTGTGTTTAATTCTGGTTGTTCCTCATCAATCTAGTTGACACCTCCTTGTTCAAAATGTAGGAATGAAAAGGTTGTGGCTGTTCAGCATTTGTGTACAGTTCTTATGTCATACAAAAAAAAGGTCAGAGGTAGTGAAGGTTTGAAAAATAATTTCTCAGTTTCAGCATGCTTATGGTGCAGCATCTGTTAGAAACTTGATTTGGGCCAGCTTATCTCACTGTGTTTAATTCTGGTTGTTCCTCATCAATCTAGTTGACATCTCCTTGTTCAAAATGTAGGAATAAAAGGGTTGTGGCTGTTAAGCATTTGTGTACAGTTCTCTCCTGGTACAGAAAATCTCTGTCTTCAGAACAGGTAGTCCAGAGAAGAGTTAGGTTATGTACAAAGATAGTGTGTGTTTCCAGAGATCTGTCTGTGCATTTCACTGAAGTGTATTCTGCCCTGAGCAGGGGTGTGTGTGCACTGTGTTGGTTCTCATCCCAGCCCTTTTTCTCTGCAGGGAATCTGAGGAGGATGGTGAGATTAAGAAAGAGACAAAGTATTCATACAGTAAGTTGATCAACAGAAAGTCCCTTTAACACATGTAACTTTGGACTTTTATGTGTGTGTGTTTTTTGATTTTTGTTGTAAAACCTTTCTTTTCTTCTTGGAAAAGAAAGGAATGTGAAGAAATAAGCAAAAATTCTCTTTCCTAAACAAATGACAGAACCTCCCTTTCCTGAGGTAACTGAGGTGAAAGGTGTGCTGTCAGCAAGCAAGGGCTACAGAAAATCTGAGTCTTGTTTTGAAACCCCTAAAAGTTCAGAGGAACATCCAGGGATAGGGTGCTTCAGAAATAGGGCCCATAAGGTCCTCAATGACCAGAGATGGGCAGAGATGGGAGTATGTTCAAAGTTACGCTTGAGATTACACTTCAGACATGGAGAAATTTGGAATATGTCAGCTGTGAGCAGAAGAGATTAGAGAAAAGCAGCTTAGCTCCAGCCTGTAAGGGAGCCTGTTGAGATGTTGTTAAGATGGTGATGCCAGCCAGTGAAAACACCAGCACCTTCTGATG